GATTTAAACAATAATAATCATAAAATTGCTTTCTGTATGTATGATAACCGAAGCGTACTCGACTGGTAGGTCTTGGAATACTGTGGCTCAACAAAGGCTCAATCAATTAAAATAAAAAGTCAAGCAATCCATGGCATAATAACCGATAATTAAAAGTAGTTTTCGTTAACGTGGAACTAACATAGTAATCGACCTTTTTCGCTTGGGCGGTTTGTAGAGAATTGTTGTTCCTAGAGAATTGTTCTTTTATCCATCTAAAAATGATTTATTCTTATGCATAGAACTATTTGAAAATTTGAAAGGAAGAATTCTCAATAATATCATCACATGTTCTGAAATGGGGCAACAAGCCGCCCAGTCGAAACAGGTCTACTGAACTATGCAAAGAATTCAAAATTAAGAAACTTGCGGTCGGCTCATGCACGCCCAAAAGAGAGCATAAAATGATATGTTCAGCTCGACTTTAAATAAGTAGTTTAGTTTACCCGAGATCTGCTTTGGACACGTTCCTTGTGAGTTACAGCTTACCTGCTACACTGTTTTATGGTTATCGCGATCAAGGAAAGTTAAGAAATCTCGCCATAGAAGAAAGTTTATTAGCATTGTTTGTAATAGCCAATCATTTCAGGTTTGTCAGTAATAGTTTTATATGGATTTTATGAGCTTCTGGATATTAGGTGCATGGTACGGTATTGACGGCCATTGACCACGTGGCATAATGATTTTTGAAACGTCTATATCAGTTATTCCCGCTTCGCTAGTTTTGATTGTTTCGTTAATTACCAATTGATTTCGTTACGTAGAATATATTGTACATTTTAAAGTCAGATCGAATTAGAATCAGTGAGAAGATTGCGAGTGTTCTTCGGTAGTGGATCGTCTTGGTTTTCTTGCGAAACAGTTTTAAATTTCGTTTTGCCAGTAGTGTATTCAGTAATTTCGGAAACAATACATTAAAACCGTTACTCTACAAAGATAAAATAAAATATGTTACCTGGCTTGTCTTTCAGATCATTGATCTTTAGTTCCAACCTAGCGATGTCTTCTTTCTTTGCTGTGTTCTCCATGTTCCCCTTTAACTCGTCGATATCTGAGCTCACGCCCTCTAGGAACTTGATATATGCCTGGGTCTCCTGTTTCATAGCCTGCTCCAATTTGCGAACTTCTTTTGTGGGAAAGTCCGACTCGGTCAAACCACCAATGACATCAATGNCCACAAGAAAGCATAAAATAATATACTCAGCTCGACTTTAAATAAGTAGTTTAGTTTACCCGAGATCTGCTTTGGACACGTTCCTTGTGATTTACTGCTTACCTGCTACACTGTTTTATGGTTATCGCGATCAAGGAAAGCCAAGAAAACACGCCATAGAAGTAAGTTCATTATCATTGTTTGTAATAGTCAATCATTTCAGATTTGTCACTGATAGTTTTATATGGATTTTATGAGCTTTAGGATATTACGTGCATGGTACGGTATTGACGGCCATTGACCGCGTGGCATAATGAATTTTGAAACGTTTATATCAGTTATTCCCGCTTCGCTCGTTTTCATTGTTTCGTTAATTACCAACTGATTTCGTTGAGTAGAATATATTGTACATTTCAATGTCAGATCGAATTAAAATCAGTGATACGATTGCGAGTGTTCTTCGGTAGTGGATCGTCTCGGTTTCCTTGCGAAACAGTTTTAAATTTCGTTTGCCAGTAGTGTATTCAGTAATTTTTGAAACAATATATTAAAACCGTTACTCTACAAAGATAAAATAAAATATGTTACCTGGCTTGTCTTGAGTTTGAACTTCTTTCAGATCATTGATCTTAAGTTCCAACCTAGCGATGTCTTCTTTTTTTGCTGTGTTCTCCATGTTCCCCTTTAACTCGTCGATATCTGAGCCCACGCCCTCTAGAAACTTGATATATGCCTGGGTCTCCTGTTTCATAGCCTGCTCCAATTTGCGAACTTCTTTTGTGGGAAAGTCCGACTCGGTCAAACCACCAATGACATCAATGGGATGTACTTTGATTCCTAGAGCTTTGAATGCATCTTTAGAGAGCTGCACATATTGATCAAATGTTGCTTTGACAATCTCAGAACTGGTTGAGTGACAGAGCGAATTTCTTAGCAGTCGAAGTTGATCAATTGCAAGTGCAAAGGTTTCTGCCCTGTTTCCACCCGGGCTCATCACAGATGCATGGAATATTCCATGAGCTAACTTATGGGGCTTCACGTACAAATCACTGAGTGTTCTGTGATGACCTTTTCTGTCGGGCAAAGCGAAGGACCGCGCGTAAATAGTAGCCTGGAACAAGGCTGTACAATCCCATTCTTCATAAGAGAGGTTTGTTGGAACTTTGGTTTTGCCACTCTCTCTAGTGAGAAACAGATTTCTTACAGCAGTAGAGTCATCCCATGGCTGGAAACCACGGAGATGTCCAAAGGTGTTGTCCCACATGGATCTGAAAGTATGACGTAATGCCTTGGGAAATTCATTCAGTACAATGGAAGCAAACTTGAAATAGTTCAACTGCTCGTCTTGAAACGGCTGCAGAGTCATCCTTCCTTATATCAGCAGTGATCAAGGACCTGCTGGACTGCCTGGCAAAGCATAACAAACAGGAACTTCAATGTTACTTTGGGTCTCTCAAATGGTAAATAACAATGAGGGGTTGAAGTGTGGAAATGAGTCTCGGTTGGGTGCAATAGGGCCAGCTGGTGCACCCTCAAAGTGCCGACAAAAGCCCACCTTCTCAAACAGGCTCTGCCAGCATGTCGGCTGTTGCGCATCCTCGTTGTTACCCTGGTAATGCAGTTTGCTACAAACTGCAGCTGGGGAACAATGGCAAAAGGCACATATCTGGCGCCTTAAAATAATGAGATCATAGTGGCTTAGGGAAAGACAGGAATTCACACGACTCAACTTTTACTAATTTCAGGGCCGCGAAAACCGAAAGTGGCGTTGATATTTTGGGGTTTGCCGCTGTGAAAAGAAAAATACTGGGTGCCGTCAATTCAGCATTGCTTGAAATCAAAAGTTACTTTTCTTTTTACAGACACATCATGTACTTTATATGAAGGCTGGAAGCCTTGAAAAGTGGACCAAACTTTCAAGGATACCGAAGAATTCCAAAAGAAGTTTGTACAGTCTAGTTTTATTAAGGCCAATTCGTCCAACCGAGTAACGTCCATTTCGCTGTAAACTTTGTAACTGAGGGTTTCAATGGGGAAATCTGTTTGACAGCTAACGGTTAAAAAAAACGCTGTTTTGACGGCTGATGGTTAAAAATATGCTATTTCACGGTTGACAGTTAGATGTTAGGTCATTTGACGGTTAATTAACACGAAATTAAAGCAGATACAGTTTTGCCCATATTTGAATAATCCAATTAGTTCCATAATTTGTGCATTAAAAATTAGATTTTGGTCTTCAAATATACGTCTAACTAGTGTGATTACTTCCCCGTTGTTACCGCTGGCCGTATTAGTCGTCTGCACCCGAGGCTAGATTGAGTTAAAGGACTCGGAAATGAATTTATTTCTGTGATATATTCAAACGATCATTTATAAACAGCATAACTTAATCCATTTAAGTCAATCGCCGAGTTCTTATATTAATTATCTGGAACTTTTGACGGTTACTATTTGCTAGTTTCCACATTTGACGATTGACGGTAAAAACATTGCGTTTTTGACGGTTGAAGGTTAATTTCTTGGCCATTTTACGGTTAACTGCACTTTGACTATTTTGCGGGACTTCAATAAACAATCTGTTTTAACAAAAGAACTAGAGATTCAGCGTTATACGCCGATTGCGTTGCGATTGTTACGCTACGGAATCACGCAACCTTTGTGCCTTACTTTTAAGGCCAATCAATACAGGCAAGGTTCATGTAACAATGTTGCCTAGAAAATAGTGACATGTTGCGCGTATTGGCACCCTTTTGCCGTGTACAGCGACATGTTCTGTCAAGGTGGCTGGATATTAACCATGAACAAGAGACCGTGATCTAGATCATCATCTTTTGCCAAGAAAGAGGCCAATATCCAGCTATCATGAGCGAACAACTTTGGTCAATAAAGGATTTACTATCTGGAATAAAGAAACAGCGGTATATATATAGCTCGTAATCGTGAGCAGACCAAGATAATGGCATCTTTCCCGCTCGGTGAGCAAATCACACCTCAGTTGAACCTCGGGATTTACCTCATCTTTTTCACTCACGGAGGTGCACCCTCTTTTCCAGGTGACGGAGGTGGCCATGCAATAATTGAAGTTAAAGTCATTTCTAGTTCGCCTAAGAAGTTGCTACAGCTCGCTATAAAGGGTGGTACACGCAACAACGCTTTCAACTTCCATTTTGCAAGGATTTCCAGTATTAAAGTGCCTATAAACCCCCAAAATGTTTTTAACTTAATGAAATCTTTGTATGAAACTAAGAGCATCGTTTATAGCATTACCAAGCAAAGGAGAGAATGGTGGTAGTGACGTCATTCCAGGTCTTTGCTTGCATCGTTTTGGTTATTCGGTGTTTTCAGCGTCAAGTACTTTGTTCAAAGAACGTTTACTCAACTCAAAAAAATGTAATTATCACATATATTGATAGTGTCGTCCAGTGATACTAGCTTTGACTCAAGCTCGGATTCCGAAGAGCGCAGAAACGGAGGTAGAGTACGACTTGGAAGTCGAGGTCTCGTCAAACGCGAGCGAACAAGGAGACACCTCAGATGATGATGATGAAGCATAAGATGCCAACGCCAATGAGCCGTTAGCAGACTAAAAGTGGCTGGCTAAATATGATGCAGAAAGACAAAAGTAATAAGAACTCGAAGCTAAAAAGTCGACTAAGGGGAGCAGAAGTAGTCAAAGAGTGGTAAGTTTGTTTTTGGTTGCTAGTGACACGCCATTTTCGAGTGTACAGTTGTCAGGTGTTCATAAATAGTGAGATTATTTCTCTTTGTAATTTTAAATGTTCATCCTAGGAGCCATTGTGGAAAATGCGACCTTACCTGTTTGCAAAACATTAGTGAATGCTACTGCTGCTGGGAGTTCGACACGGATGTGTCGAAGCTTTAGAGAGCGACATGGAGCCAGGGCGTATGGAAAACATGGAATTCGGAATTCGGAACCGGAACCGGACATATAAAAATTGGAGATGTTTTTAGGGTGTTACGGACAATAATAGGGGAAGATGTAATTAATTGTAATAGAGTGATACTGAGTATCATGTTTTAAATCTCTTCATGTTGTTTAACTTGTCGATTGCATGTAGCGAAATAAAAAACGCAAATGTTAATTCCAATTAAACACGACTTCCTGCTAATCACAAAAAAATACCCAGTAAGAAAAAACAATCTTTCACAATCGCAAAACTTGGTTTCCGCAAAATACAAACAATCGCCCATCCGCAAAATCACTCCCGCAAAAATTTCGTGCCACACGGTATGCCTTGAATATAAGCTTGATGTTTTACCCCGCTTCTTTTAACGGGCGAATATTATTTTGCAATGGATCAGGATATGTATTTCGCGTTGAAGGTATTTTGACTTTAATAATTAATCTGCAAATATTACTGAAAGGAAAAAGAAACATAACAACATTTTACCGCGTGAAAGAGCCTACATTTGTTTATTAAGCAAAGGCACATGGGTTCTATTCTCTCAAGCGAACTTATACATCACGCTTCTACATGACTTTATTAAACAAAGCAGAATATATAGCCACTGAAAATCATAGAACCAGCTAATGCTGTTCCGTATATAGACTCAACTTAAATTCAAGTCATTATAACCAGCTCAAATTTTCACATCTACATTTCATAGGTTTCATCGCTTGATCGCGAATTTGTTTAATGGGAACATCTTTCCAAACTCAATGTAATTATCTGAAACAAATGAAAAATTCTATGCCCTTACAGTTCGTCCCTTTTTCTTGAAAAGGCTCAGTGTATGATCAATTTCCAACTGACAGAAAGGCGGCGAAGGGAGGTGTACTGATGTCAGTTATTCTTACTTGATCCCAAGTTGCATCATTCACGCGTATGTGAAATCAGTCTCGATGAAAAGTTTTGTCCCGGACGGACAAAAAAGGACATAAAGAAAATAATATTGCGCAAGGAGATAAAATTCTTGCTAGAGCAATTATTGTCAGTAGCACCCTCAAAACATCTCCAATTCTTGTATGTCTGGTTCCGGTTCCGGTTCCGGTTCCGTTTCCGGATTACGGATTCCGGATTCCGGATTCCATGTTTTCCATGCGCCCTGGAGCCACAAGGGTCTTCAAGATCTTCCCCAAGGCACAGCGCTAACGTGTATCACACAACAGCCTGAATTTCATTCCGTTTACCTCCAGAAGTGGAGTTTTAGACTGGCCGCAGGTAAGTACAGGATCTAGAAAATGACGTTACGTGCGTGATGTACAAAATGTTCGCCAACAAAGACTGCTTGTCTTTTACTGTATTTTGAAAGTAGAAAGATTAGTGGAATTTAACTGGTTTTCTGAATTAATAAAAACCTCAATGCCCGATGTTTGTATGAGGGGTGTGGTAAAATTAGAAACACGGGAACACCTGAGAACAACCAGGACCTAATTAATGCTAACCCCTCAAAATACTATCCGCTAACTGTAATCCTGACCGTAAACAAACTTTTCCTCCCGTAAACGTTTTTATTTTAAGCGGAGAAACTAAAACTTATTTTAATTAGTTTATATTGTATGTCCTAGTGACATTATACATAATTTATGCTTCAGTTGGATAAATAATATTGACGATGAATGTTATCTTCTTTTGTGAATCATTAAAATTCCACTTTAGATTCAAGTTGTCTTGCTTTTGTTGTCTTGCTTTTGTCTTGCAAAGCACAAATTTATTATTACTGCAGTTGTCCAAATTCCCACTGCTTTATTCTACTCTACACTTCAACTAATACCTGCCTTTTATATTTCCAAGCATACAATAGCTACATGTACTAGGAATGTAACCAAAACTTTTAATTAACATTTATCTGCTGCATTTAGTTTCAGCTTTTTTGTTACCTATCGGGAATTATGGATTCTTAGGGAATAGGAGGAATTCTTTTGCCTGCCTGTGCAGATGATGCAATCAGGAAAGCATTCCCTTGTTCAAAGGATAAAGAATTCACTGGA